AATTATTATTATTATTATTATTATTCTTATTATTATTATTATTACTGCCATCTTCACAGTGGCGCTGGCTGTGGGCCTTAACTGCCAAGCGGAATGTCCTCGGTTCTCCGTGACATCTCTCCTGTGGGACGCTCCCGGTCTTGTCCCTCCTGTCGCGGAGCCAGCCATCGAAGGCCGCGCCGTCGCTGATGTGCCGCTCCGCAGCAACTTTCAAGACGGATTCGCCCAGCATTTCTCTCGTTGGGCGTCCAGGCAAAAAATGGCAACGTCAGTGGAATCAGATCACAGTTCCCCGCGTGCGTGGAGAGACCGGAGCAACTCTCGGATCCAACTCATTGTGCACCCTCTCCCAAATCCCCTGGCGGGTCTGTTTGAAATTCCTGGGAAGCAGTTCCACAAATCCGATTGTGCTGTCGCCACCAGTCGACAACTTTAAGCTCAGTTGCAGCTGTATAGCTTGAACTTGAACTTTATTGACATATGTAACCAGTACATGTACTGGCACAATGGAATTCTTACCTACAGAAAGTCTCTCGATAGTTAAAACAAGTGTAAAAACACAAAGTGTTTCTTCTCTTGGATGCCATTTTAAGACTTTGAGATCCCTCGGGGAACACACGGCCAGCCCAGCGGTTGGTCCCTTCATCTGCTGTGTTGCTGAAAAATCAGCAAAAAGGGGATGCTTTTGGCAAGACTGAGTCAGTCCCTCCAAAGCGGGCGCGTAAGGAATCGAATCCAGTTGGAAGAAAAGACGAAACGATTCACTGTAACCAAGTATCGAATTTCACCCCTCAAAATCACGGAGCCAATTATCCGTATAGAGGTGTCAGTTTATTTTAAGTGTAAGTATGCAAAGACATCTATATGGACAGACCGGTTGTTTGTTTCCAAATTGTGCAGGACTAACAAAATATTGAAGTGGATTTTCAAATGATGAGAAAACCGTTTTTATCTTGGTAAAACAAAGTAGAACAAATATAATTTAACAAATGCCGTAGATTTTCATCTACAATGCAATGCAATACCATATATTCAAGATAACAAAGACAAGACGACAAAGCTTTAATAACTTTCTGGTTTTTCTTTAACAACCATGCGAATGAATACAATCAGATTAGTTTGCTCACTTGCTCGTAATGACATTAAAATCTCGTAATGTCATTGAAACAGAGCAAAAAGCTAAAAGAAGGCGAGTCATTTAACATGCATTCGAGTAAATAGCTCATTTAAAACTACTTATTCAATCTTGACAATTTGCACCTTGTTAATCACATGATTTGGCAACGAGAAAAATCTGTGAACGAAGTAATTTTGACCAACCTGCACCCGAAATGACTGATCCTGTGATGCACGCCTGCACAGCAAGTCGGGGGGAAACATTACTCGCCAAACCTTGGTTCCACTTAGTCCTTAACGAAGTTAAACATTAGTTATCCATTGTCGCCAATACGCACACACTAGGGACAATTTAAATACGTTAGTTAACCTAGACATCATCTTTGGACTGCGGTAGGAATCTAGAGCACCTTGAGGAGGGATAACATGCGAACTCCACACAACGGTGCCCCAGGCAATTCGTATTATTCAACACAAGAAAGGAATAGCAGAAAGTGTTGGTTTTTTATTTTCAGTTTATGCTAGCCAGCCAAAAGGCGCCCGTATTAATCTTGTCCTAGTAGCAAAGAACAGCTTTGTTTGGGACACTGAGCCCAAGTCATTGTTCACATTTCCGAAAAGCACTACTGCGAATTATGAGGTTTCTCGTTTGCTTTAAAATATAGATTAAATAGAGGGGTTGTGGTGTACCACTTATTGCGTGGTAGAGTATATTATCAAAATAAATTAAGCCGCTAAAAAATGCGATAGTTATCGTGTTTCAACCGCTGGAACGAGCCCAATGTTTCAGAAATTGCGAGCTGGCAGATTTCCACACTAGGTGGCGCTGTCTCACGGTTTCTGTTATAGTCCTCGGTTTCATGGTCTAGTTAAGTCGCTTCTGAGGAAACTATTAGCCTCAGGAAAAGAATCCAGAGAATGTTTAGAAAGCTTAAATCGATTTCACATCGGCTTTGGAGGCGAAGAAACGTTTTGACAATGAAATATTATCTGATTGAAAATAATTTCACCATGACACCATGGGAAGTGGCCTCTTTGTGATTAATTGCTGTTCACACAAGCAACACCCGCTATGTCTCACAAAGCAGACTCAGTTTTCTACTCTGGTTTCACGTGGAAAATTGTGAAAGGGTTTGAGGATCAGCTAACATGTTAGAAAAGTCTAAAGTCTTTCAATCCAGGAATTAATTAAACTGGGAGTCTCAGATTCTTTTATCGACACGATGGGAAAAGATCACTGCCATAGTCTAATGAAAGAGAAACTGCAGAGCCCAACGTTTTCTGCCACAAGCTGAGTATATGACCACATGGCAAATTTACTTTTTACACAAATTGACACAATTAAAACGAATTTACTAATTAAAAAAACTAATTTACACAAGCCGACTACTTCTTGAGGAGGCTCAGGTCCTTTAACATATGTAGTAAGATTCTACATACGTTCTATCAGTCGGTTGTGGCGAGCGTCATTTTCCACGAGGTGGTATGCTGGGGCTCTGGGATTAGAGCAGGGGATGCTAACAGGCTGAACAAGCGCATTATAAGACCAAGCTCTGTCATTGGGTCTGTCCTGGACCCCCTGGAGGTAGTGGCTGAGAGGAGAATGGTGTCCAAACTAGAGGCCATCATGGATAACGTCTCCCATCCCCTCTATGACACGCTTGTAAAAATGAAGAGCACGTTCAGCAATAGGCTGATCCAACCACGTTGCGACAGGGAGCGCTACAGGAGGTCATTCTTGCCTTCTGCCATAAGACTGTACAACGCAGGGCTACATTGACCTGTTTTGGACTAAACAGTAAACTGTCTGCTACATCTGGCTTTCCCGGTTACAACCGTTTTTGTGCAATATATACCAGGGACTACAATACATTTATATTTATATTGTGCAATCCAATGTTTTGTGTACTGTTCTGGTTTGTTCTTTGTATATTCTGGACTGTGCGTAACTCTTCTTAGTGCACTTCTCACTGACTGTACTGATTGTAGTGTATGTATTGTATAATTGCGTTACAGTGGGCTGTGTTGACTTTGTTAAGCTGCCGTTGCACTGCAATTTCCCTCACGGGATCAATAAAGTATCTATCTAAATTAAAAATGTAGTCCTGTCACTACATGTGCGCCCTCAATAAGTCTTTAAGTCTTGAGTTAATTCCACCTGGAGCACCTTCTATGTGGATTTAGAATTTTTCTGTGGTTTCCTCCCAAAGTCCAAAGACATGCTGTCCAGGTGACTTCGTGTGTCTAAATACTACCTGAGAACGTGGACTGGCATGCCAACCAAAGAGGTCTGAAACTCAGTTCCTGGTACCTTGAAGTAATCAATTAACCTAAATATTTTCTAAATTAGAAGACTCCACGGTTCATTAAAACTACCTCAGACCACCTCAGAGCCTGGTTAGGCTATTAGTCAGCTATTTAGATAATTAGACCAATGATGTCACTGAGAACATGGGTGGAAAAATAGCAACACCAGGTTCCCCAGGAACTGAGTCTGAGTCCCCTGCTCCAGAGTGTAGTCCTGCCTCACTCC